GCCCACCAGGGATCAAACCCTCGTCCCTGTGTCTGACTAAGCAGACACTTTAATCCACTGAGCTGTCTAGTTGGCCTTGAAATTCACTATTTTCAATCTCCAAAAGCTCCAAATATTGAATTTTTTCTTCAGAGGTATCTGGACTCAACTTACCTGCAAACATCTTTTTAGAGAGTTCTTTCCCTTTTGAAGCTGGGCCTTTGAGGGGGGGGGTCTATCAACTTGCCATCCAGTTTGTGTTCTTTTAGCTCCAAAACCTTATCAATGGTAGCAGCACCTTTGAAAAACACAAATCCAATTCCTCTCAATCTTCCAGTGACTGGGTCTGTTTTAATGGCACAGTCTACAACTTTCCTAAAGCCGACAAGCACTCAGATCTTTCTTGCTTGTGTCCCAGCTCAAGCTTCCAATAAACATTTTATCATCACCCTGCTGGTTCTTGCTTGTGTTGATCTTGGACTCCTCTGTATGGCTATACTCATTCGTGTCTTCCATGATGGAAGAGCCATCAGCAGGAGCTAGCGTCGCGCAGTCAGGGTCGCTGGGTGCTGGTGGAAGAAAGGCAAACTTTAGACCTTCATAGCTAAATGGGTGAACCTTGAGAACATAATTTTAAGTGAAATAAATTAGACACATGAGCTTAAATATTGCATTGTTTCTCTTATATGAGAACACCCCCCAAATATAAAAATCAAAATAAAATACAGATCATAGGAAGTAGGGATATCTTTTTCAAATGGATTCGGGGGAGAGATGGAGGGAGGGGAGTGAAGAAGAATAAGATAAAAGAATTTAAAAAATGGAAATAAAGCTTTTGTAAATAGGAAGGTAACAAGATTTGGAAGGAGCTAGGAGGGATAGAAAGGGTAAGACACAAAAAAGAGAATTAAGATGTGTTATGTTCCTGTACCAACTCACTATGATAAATTTATTTATGTAAATATGTACTAATAAAAAATAAATTTAGAAACAATAATCTTTCTGGGGGGGAAAAAAAGAAAAATTGTCACAACTAGAAGTAAATGCAGGGGCCGGGGAGATGGCTCAGTAGAATAAGCGCTTGCCTGGCAAGCTCAAGGGCCTGAGTTCAATCCCTGGTTCTGCCAAAAAAAAAAAAAAAAAAAGAAGAAGTAGATGCAGGCTATCTAATTCACCAAATATACTTGTACTGGTGCCTGCCTTCTGGGCCCCCCTCCTAATGTCATAATTTACACCACAGAGCAATATTAATGCGTTTGTCTGAACAGGTCCTAGCATGTGAGGGAGTCAGTGCAGAAGGCACCTGGGCCCTATTATTGACTTTCTGTCCCTGTAACAAAATACTGAACACATGGAACTCAAAGGAGATAGGGTTATTTTTGCTCAGGATTGTAGAGGTTGCAGCACACGGTTGGCTGTCCCAAAGGCAAAAACAACAAAGCAGAAGAATGTGGCAGGAAAAAGCTGCTCAGTCACGGCATCCAGCAAGCAGAGAGCAGGGCAAGAGCCAGAGGCAGGGGCCAGGGACAGCTCTGGCCTCCGAGATCACGCCCACACCCTGCACGGACACCCCAAGTCTCTTAGTGTCTCTGAGGCCAATGAGGCTGACAGTCAAGATGAACCAATCCAGTTCTCAGATGGCCACAAGTAGCAGGGCTGCTTCATCCCTTTAGTCCATGTAGCACCATTACAATAGGACAGTTACATTAGAGAAACTTAAAACGTCTTGTTCCTTTAGCCACTGATGATTTTGCCTTTTTGTTAAGGTAGGTCAACTATAAGTAATATAAAATAGAAAAAAATCATTTAAAAGTATAGAACATTTGATGACCAAGATGACCATACATAAAAATGTTACAGATCAGAGAGTTTATAGAGTATTTTATATTTGTCTGTGCATATAATGA